GATTGCCCGGGCACAGCAGCGCTCCAGCCCTGCTGCTGGTGTCCGTCAGGGCTCCAGGGTGCGGTCCCCAAGCCCTGCCAGCATTCACACTGATAGAGGAAGTGGCTGAGCTCAAGGAAAGATTTATTTGCTCTCCACTCGCCCTGCAGCGCTCGCAGCTCTCGCCTCAGCCGTCTGTACTTTTTTCAGCCGCCTGGAGCAGCAGTAATTCCTCCTCCTCCTCTCGTCCATCAGGTGCTTCTCAGTGAAGAGAAGATAATTCAGAGAGACCAGAGATGCCTTGGCCGAGCAGAAAGAGAGACAAAGGAGCGGTAGCAGGTCTGTGCTGACATCCTGACTGATTTAGCAGCTCTCATTTGAGGTTCCAGACTATAGTGAAACTACAGGCAGCCGTATGAACCGGCTGTTTTACAGACAGCATTTCCTGTGCCAAATGGGCTGAGCACCCAAGCATGACTGACACAAGCCTGCTAGGTGTGTGATAAGGACACTGATGTATTCTCAGCACAAGGGGCTTAGGAAATGCAATTCAGGCCCATTTTTGCACAGCAGAGTTGGTCAGTCAGAGTACACCCAATGCAGTGCCAGAAAGCTGATGTAAAAACAAAACCAAAAAGCTGCAAAACAAAAAGCAAGAACATTGCACTGGAGGCATCATGATGTGGTGTTTAAAGTACAAGATGAAAAAACTGCACATCTGTGCCACTCATCTGCTTGATCCACTCTAGCAAATAACCACATTTTTACCTCTTAATTACTTCTTAATAACTGGGTTTTTTGTCTGTGTCCTGAAAAAACAAAGGATCCCTTCTGAACAGGTAGCTCAGTGGAGGTTAAGCTAAGATTTCCAGCTCCTGCAGGAATTGAAATAGTTTGGTTTGCTTGGTGAATGTTCCTCTTACTCACCAGATTTACCTAAGTCTGCTTTGTTGCCTGGAGCTGATTTCTCAGCAATTAATTAAAAAAATTCAACTACACTTCATGTGGGCAAACATGGTCTATCCTGAGGTCTTTTTATTACTAACTGGGAGTATTAAACTACATTTTTGCAGACACAAAAACCTCCTCATTTCAGATGCAAATTAGAAATACTCAGAATCATTGGTGCATAATGCTGTTACCTTACCCTGAGCACCTGGGCTGCCCCAAACTCCTGCTGCAGTCAAATGTGTGAAACCAGCTTGGACAACTAAAAATATTTTTTGAAACAAAATGTGTTTTATCTCAATGTCTTTTAAGATAAAAAAGAGCCTGATGCTAAAATTGCCAAAACTGAGAAGGAGACTTCGGATAAGGAGGAAGAAGAGAAGTCTGCAAAACCCCCAGCTGGGAGCTCCAAGTCAGGATGGAAGAACTGGAAGAAAAAAGAATCTGAGTCTGGGGAGGAAAGCAAGATCACATATTGTCACTGGCTGCTGAAATCAGAACCTGAGAGCAGGCTGGAGAAGGGGGTGGATGTGAAGGTGAGCACTGACACCCCCTCACCCAGCAAAGGACAGCAGCGGGGCCACTCTGCCCACCTTTAGTGCCCAGGTGCTGAGGGACAGCATCAGGCAATTCAGGCTCATTTATCTTCTCAAAACCCATTTGTCCTCCTGGAAACAGAAAAACAAAATGTTCTTGTCCAAGGTGACAACCTTGGGGTTTCATACATGTAATACAAGAGGAAATCAGCTCCTCAGCATGCTTGGCTGCTGGTCACAGGAGCAGCATCTATTTCAGACTCTGCCTTTATTCTGCTGCTTTGTAAAGGTTTGTCTGTAGGCCCTGTGGGAGATGAAAATTGTGTCAGGTTTGTGCTATAATTGAAGGAGCTGCTAGCAGCAAATGCTCAGTGCAGACAATGACACTGTAAAGATCAGAAAGCTCCTGAATGAATGTTTATTTTCATTTCATTTGGCAGTTCAGTGTTGACGACTTGAAAGCTCAGCCTAATCAGACAACCTGCTGGGATGGAGTAAGGAACTACCAGGTAGGAAGCACATGGGGGCACTGAAATAGCAGAAGAAGAAGGTGGCTCTGCCCACAGCTTGTTCCTGTGCCTCAAGCATTTCCTCTTGGGGGACTCTGCCTGTTCATGCAGGTGCATTTTGGCAGGGACCAGAAGTCAACTCCTGCTTAGTGGCCTCAAGGTCAGAGGTAGATTCAGGCTGGTGAATATTCTGTCAAATCACCCAGTTTTTCTTTCACTTAGACCAACCTTTGATACCTCAAAGCAAGTCTGTACTTACCCAAATGCTCTGTCAGTGCACAGCTTTCTGTTCCAAAGGAATTCCACGTGTGTTCCCCTGCTGTGTATGATCCTTGTTCTGTATAGGATTCCCTGTTCCCCTACACATGATCTGCCCTGAATTGTTTGCAGACAGCTCTCCTGGGCAAGGGTGGCTGAGCTGTTGAATTCCCACACCCTTTCTGACCAACAGGAGCTTGCTCTTCAGCCTTGTTTTGACTTTATTTAATTCCAACACAAAACCATCTCTATGACAACTGTAGGAAACATTATCTGAGTAATTCTGAAGCACATCTACCTCTCCTCTTGTTGGTTCCTGTTCTTGGCTGCTTCTAATGAAGCCATGAAAGCTTGATGGAAAGAGCTGAAAGTCTCTTGTTTACTCCTGACAGGCAAGGAATTTCCTGAGATCCATGAAACTTGGGCAGCAGGCCTTCTTCTACCACAGCAACTGCAAAGAGCCTGGCATTGTGGCCCTTGTCAAGGTGAGTGTTTTGGGGAGAAGTGATAAGGAATGGGTTATCACACAGCTCACTGCTTGTGTCTCAGCACCAGAGAGTGCAGGGAATGAGCCCAGGACACCTCAGCTCAGCCCTACAGGGCTGACTCAGCCATGTGTCCCCAGAGGGATGGAACCAAGCTGTGCCGTTTTCCTGCTGACATTTCGGGGCACTCCCAGCCAAGCCAAGTGCTCTGATTCCACTCTGACTCACTACATTCTAGTCAGCGGGGCCCACAAGGCAGTAGAATAAAACCAGGGCACAGAACAGCTTTTACTTTAAGAGCAGAACTCATCACAAAGATCTTTAGCAGCAGCTACCCAGTTTTCCTGTGCTGCATTTCCTTCCCCACTGATCTCCAGCAGGTGATGCTGCACTCACTGCTCTGCACTCCTTCCACACAAGAAATGTAAAGAAAACTGTTAGGATGGAGTTCAGGGAAAGCAAGGCTGATTTTTCACCAGGATTACTCCTTGTCACATCTCATGCCCTTTGCTGACAGGTGTTTTGAACTGATGGAAACTTTCTTCTCCCCTTCTGCTGTAGATCGTGAAGGAGGCGTACCCTGATCACACACAGTTTGATCAGAAGGATCCTCACTACGACTCCACCAGCAGAAAAGAGAACCCCAAATGGTCCATGGTAATGTATTCCATTAAATACAGCTCTGTGTGCAAGCCAAGAGAAGGGAGAAGGCTCTTTGCATCATAGTGAAAATCTTAAGCTTCTGTCCTGGCCTAGCTGCCTTTTTCTCTCTCAAGAGAAAATTCAATCCTCTTTCCTCTGCTTTTCCCCCAATCCCTTCTAGGAGGCTGCCAAAATATATCTCCCTAAATTTCCGTATCTTGGCTGCAGAGCTGGCCTCTCTTCATTTTCAAATCTTGGCTGCAGAGNAACACAGCCCCACCACTGCCAGGCAGGGCTGGTACCCACAGCTCTATAGAGAGAGGCAAACTTTCACTGGGGAAGGCTGTGAGGGCAGAGAAAAGAATAAGAAACAATTCTTATCTCCACTTGCTGCACCTGGTGTTGTGCACATGTGGAATGTGTTATGGGGATTTGGTTACCAAAGGGTGGTTTCTTAATTGGACGCTGGATGGTGTTTGGATTGACCTATTGGATCCATCTGGATCAGATTGTCTGTAAGGGTGATGAGCTTCTTAATAAGTATAATATAATAATATAGTATAATAGTATAAGATAGAATAGAATAGAATAGAATAGAATAGAATAGAATAGAATAGAATAGAATAGAATAGAATAGAGAAATTGATCAGCTTTCTGTAATCATGGAGTCATTGCTAATTATTAACCCACTCAATGGACCATTGCTACAATATGGGCTCAGGTCTGACACGCTTCCTTACCAGGAAAAGCGTGTTCTTGACTTCCCCAGGGAAGGCCCTGTGAGGTGAGGGATGGCCCTTCCAGCATGAGGAAGGGCAGAGCTGCTGCAGGGCTTACCTGGTTGCTGGCGAGGGGTTCCCCGAACTGCTTGCGGACAGTGAGGTGCTCCTGAGCCAGGAGAACCGAGGCATGAGCAGCTCCCAACGAGCAAGAAGCTGGTGGGAGAAGCCAAGGACACAGAGTGAAGGTGAAGCTACCTCAGACAGGCAACAAGAAGGTCCTGCCCTCCTCCCTTGGCTCTCTTTGGCTTTCTCACCGATGTTTATCCTGCCTCCATTGAGGCCCTGCATGGCGATGTTGAATCCCTGCCCTTCAGCTCCCAGCCGGTTGCCCACAGGAACAACGCAGTCCTCAAAGATCACAGCCCGAGTTGGCTGGGAATTCCAGCCTACCTGGGAAAAAACAGAGCTCCTTCCAGACTGCCTGAGGAGCAGCACAGCTCCAACACAGAAGCACCAGCATGCTCCCAACCCCTCGGTCTCACTGCCAAGCTGTCACAAAGCACCCGTGGTCTGCCAAACCATGCAGTGTGGAAATTGGAATGGGTGTTTTTGAGAAGAGGCACAAATCCAGTGATCTTGATTTTTCTGAGACTAAAATCCTTCACTTACCAAAGGGATGGGTATTGGGCAAACCTTACCACTTGGTAATACCATGCCAGGCTGGGACTCCAATCCCATCCATGAAGAGATCCCTAATGCTTTGCACAGACAATCTCATTGGCACCACAGGACACAGCCTCAACCTGTGCCAGGGAGGCTCAGACTGGACATCAGGAAGAATTTCTCCATGGAAAAGACTGTCAGGTATTGGAATGAGCTGTCCAGGGAGGTATTTGAGTGACCACCCCTGCAGGTGTTTAAGGAATGCCTGGATGTGGCACTCAAGTGAGCATCAGTCACAGGCTGGACTCAATGGTCTTGCAGCTCTTTCCAATCCTGATGATTCTGTGGTTCTGTGATCTCTGTCCTGCACTTCCCTCAAGCACACAGGAAGCACAACCCAAGCCTCTTACCTTCTTCTCCTTCTTGCCAAAGCTGAGCCCTGGCATTCCCTTCTCCAGCACGAGGCAGGAGATGCCCTTGGGGCCTGGGCCCCCTGTGCGACACATGACCACGTACACATCGGTGTCACCTCCCCCGCTGATGAAGGCCTGCAGGAGGGCACAGTGAGAAAAGTGAGGCTTTGAGGGGGGTTTGCAAACTATCCCTGAGCCCACAGCAGCAGCTGGCAGGGTACAGAAATGGAGAGGCAAAGACCCCACAGCCAGAGGCATTGAGGGACTCAGCTGGTGAAAGCTCTGCAGAGCACGTCTTGCCTTGGGAGAATGCACAGAGGTGAGGAGACAGCAGGAATGGGAAGGACAGTGAGACCCAGGCAGCTTTAGCAGGAGCAAAGAGGTACCTTGGAGCCATTCAGGACGTAGGAGTCCCCTTTCCTCTGAGCTGAGGTCAGCAGGGAAGCTGCATCACTGCCACTCCCTGTTTGAGAAGCAAGGAAGCAGCCAGTGAAGCAGAAGGTCCAGAGCCTACAAACTCTCCCTGGGACCATACCCTGACACCTGAGTTTGTACCACGAGCATCTCAGCAATCACCATCTGCCTCTCCTCAACTTCACAAATGAATATGGAAAGAAACATTTCACCTCCAGCCCTTTGCAAGGTTCATGTGCAGTTAAAGAGAGAGGAGATGTCCTGCTTGAGGATGCTCACCTGGCTCAGTCAGGCAGTAAGAGGCAAACTTTTCCATGCTACAGAGGGATGGGCAGAACCTGCGCCGCTGCTCCTCGTTGCCAAAGGTGTCGATCATCCAAACACACATGCTGAGGTGGGAGAGAAGGAGCAGCATTCAGGATTGATCATAGGTTGTACAAGAACTTCCCTGGCTGAACAGAGGAAAGCTCCACAAGCCCTGAGGCCTGAAAATGTTCTTGCTACACCTTCCATTCACCACACTCACTGCCCTGTGGAACAGCAGGTTCTGTTTAAGAGCCTCAGTCTCCTCTCCAGGCTCAGCCCTGCTCCCTCTCCAGGAAAGTGCACCTGAAGAAAGCAGCATCATTGCAGCTCTGTGTGCCAAGTGACCTGTCACTGGACATGTCTGTACAAGCAGGACAGCCCTGGGGTCAGGTGGTGCCTCTGGGCTCTGTCACAGCACAGCAAAGGCACAAAGGCTTTTTCCAGGCAGGTTACTATCTATAGACAGCTTAAGTGGCAGGGCAGAGAACAAAATCCAGAACTTAATCCCATCTTGCATGCCACAAAGCTAAAATTACTTCTTGGTGGCATCTCAGTCCTTGTGGCCTATTTGTTTACTGCCATCCAGGGATCCTCACAGGGATGTGTGTACTCGAGGTCAGCATTTAAATATATAAATAATGAGCAGCAGCCAGGGAGCTGCCTCCAGCTGGATTGAGAGCCCACAGAGCAGCCAGGCTGACACCACTCACCCCTGCACAGACACACTCACTTGTGGATGCTCATGTAAGCAGTGGTGCTGGTACATCCTGTTGACAGAGCTTCAAAGATTATGGAGGTGTCAAGTCGTGACAATCCAGAACCACCAACATCTGGTTTCACATAGATCCCACCAAATCCCAGTTGGGCTGCCTTCCTCATGGTTTCCACAGGGAATATTTCCTATTGGGAAATAGGAAATAGGAAAGATACCCCAATGAATATTCAGGGTTAGTTCAGTCTTTTTGGGTAGCCCTGGGCTACCAGTTTGAGTCCTACCATCCTGCAGAGTTTAAGTCAGCTGGGTGGGTCAAATTAGAGGTGGTACCGAGTTTAAGTCAGCTGGGTGGGTCAAATTAGAGGTGGTACCAGCACAGACAAATTCCATCTTGAGCAGTGAACCCAAGATCCAGGTGATTGAATAACCTGGCTAGGAAAGCTTCAAGGTATTTCTGATGATTTCCCTCCCCCAGCTACAGCAGCAGCTTCAATGACAACCTCCAGAGCTACTGCAGTGAGACCTATGGGTCACAACACCCTAAGGAAGGAAAAAAGGAGCAGTGCAACCCTGGTGAGGCTGTCCTACCTTCTCATCCCACTCGGCCATGTAAGGAGCCATCTCCTTGGCAGCAAAATCAAGGGCAACTTTCTGGAACTCCTTCTGATCCTCAGTGAGTCCAGTGGATGCTAGAAAAGCAGCAAGAGATGAGAACATGTGCCTGTGGAGGGAAACCAGCACAATCACCTTGTCTATACCCAACCACCTTGTCTATACCCCAAACAATTTCAAGGTGCCTCTTAACTCACACAAACAGTTCAGGGTCTCTGTTGCAGACACCATTCCTCTGTTCCTCAGGAATACAATGAGCTGTGCTGAGAGCAGGGGGATTTGGGAGGGGCTTTTTGGGACAAAACAAATCCAAGATCCCAGCTGGCTCTGCCTGCTCCATGCTAACTGCATTAGAAAGGCAGGACAGGGGAGCACAGTCACTCCATCTCACTAAGTCTGTGCTAAAGAAATCTGAGGGAGCAGTGCTGGGACTTCAAAGAAAGGAGACTGGAAGCAAATAATACAGCAGCCCTTTGGAAACAGCATCTAAAGCTTTAGTTAGGTTCTGCATTTGAAATCTGCTTCACTGACACATAGATCCAACATTGTTTTGTTTGCTCCCCTCCTGAAATTCACAGCTATGCTGGTGCCTCAACTTTAAATGTTGTTAGATGTTGAAGCAATTCATCAGCAAAGTGTTCTGGAACCAGAATGGCTTGGATTGGAAGGGACCCTAAAGACCATCTTGTCCTTGTTCCAACCACCTGACACCTTCTAAGAGACCAAGCCCTGTCCAACCTGGCCTTGAGCACTGCCAGGGATGGGGCATCCACAACTTCTGGGCAACCTGTGCCAGCTGGAATTCTGCCACAGGAATTTCTTCCTAATATCTAACCTGAATCTCTCCTCTTTTAGTTTAAACCCATTCCCCCTTGCCCTATCAGTCTGCCTATATAAAAAATCACTTTCCTTCTTTTTAAAAATCCCTCTTCTTTTGAGAGATATTCTTTGATTCACTATCAAATCTGAAAAAACGTGAAAACCTAGGTAAGGGAAGGACATGGAGATGTTGCAATAGGATATGAAACAACATGAGTACACACACCACTGCTCTTAAGGTGAAAAAAAAAGGAAGTTAATTTCCAAACCCAAAAATTAGAGTTTTCTAAAAGAGACAGTGGATTGGAGGGTGACAGTGCTACCTCTCCAATGACACTGGACAAACTAACAGTTTATCACATTTCTTCTATAAAAAGATGCAAAACAGTAAGTTACTTACAGA